ACTTGAATCGTGAACAATAAGACTTATCGGTAAACTTTTGAACGATATAAAAATTTTTTGTTTTAGTGTTTTGAAGCTGACCAATTGTTACTATAAGCAATTAATTGATTATAGATACCTGTATATTTTCTAATGAGACTCTTGTTAGATTCGAAGAAGAAGTTGCTCTTGAAATTGTAGGGAAAACTTCTACTTGACCCGGAGTGGGAATCTCTGTATTGTTGGTTTCATCATTTTCCTTCTTCTTCCTTTTGAACTTTTCTAAAAGATCCTCCAGAGTAATTTTATCTGGGTCTTAAGAATTTTTAAAACAAGTAAGCAAATTATAAAAGCACAATGGTTTAATTCAAAAAAGCCAACTTACTAAATAAAAATGAATAGAGTGCCATCATGACACTATAATAGCCAAAAATAGTCCCTAATACGGATATAACCGTATTACTCCTATTATATGTTATTTGTAAGTTGTACGTGAGAATTTGTTGACAAGGAACATAATAAAATAGGTAGTTTTTACCTTTGCTCTTTAAATTCTTCTGAAATAAAGTTTTGTGGGGAGATCTCCAATTTTATAAAAGGTGAGTTGAGGTCATCTTTCGGAAAAATTTCTATGGTAACAAAAGGTTAAATAAATACATATGATGATAAAATAAAATAAAAAAAATAAGAAAAACTTACGCATTTTTGATTCAATGTAATTTTGTGTGTTGTAATCTGTTTCAAGACCAATACTAAGGCCAATAAAATTTAAATTCGTATTAGCTATTGTTTTCCTAACTTTTCTAGAATACGTTAAATGATAATCCTATTTTTTTTAATAATGATTTATTAGTATTGCAAATTATCTCTTCTTTTCTAATGATGTTCTCAAGCACACGTACAAGACTGCCTGATAAATAATATCGATTTGCATAGCCAAGAGACTCGGTAAATAGTTCCTCATTTTCATTGTTGGTATGAGCAACTGAACCTTCAATCCACGGATCATAATCTATTTATTTATCACCATATTATTATTATAATCAAGACCCCAATTTTATGAAAAAACTTGCCTGTATCAAATGCATGCATTGACACGAAATTTCCTGGAGAGGTTGGTTTATCAACGTTTATCCTAAGTATAATAAAATTACTTCCAATACCCTTAGGAAACAAACTTATTTGATCTTTTGGTAAAAACTTCCCAGCATATTGAAGATTAGGATTATCGCCACGAGTTGGTTGTGTAACATAGTCATTACAATCGCCTTCTTTTGAAACATTTTGAGTCAGATAGATATGTTGAAATAAACAATCAATTATTAAAGCAAATGAAACACTTCTTAAACACTTATTACCAATACTGCTGGAACCTTTAGTACAAGTGATTGTAAATGTTCCGTTATAGGCCAAATAAATATCTGCAATGATTTCGTGGTTTTGATATTAGAGAACATGTCATTTGATTTTAGGGTGTTTAACTCAAAAAAATTACTTTACCTGGAACAGGTAAGCTCGCAATTGTTGAAAGGGTGCTAATCATAGCAGGCTGTTCTTGAGTTAGCTTTAGAAACGACAACGCAGAGGGAAAACCTAGTAATAAAGATGATACAACGGCAAAACACCATTGAAACCATAGTTTTTTTTTTGTCGCACATTTTTTTGTTAGTCGATTGGTTTTTATTATTTTTAATGTGAATAGTAGAATGCATTTATAATGAGGAGAAAATAAGAGTTTATATTAATAACCGAAAGTCTAAAGAGACAGGTATAATCAGTGTTGCAAAAATCACGCGTTTTTTTACTTTATAAAGTAATATTTATCAACTAGATTTCAATTATTACGATTTCAAATAAAAAAAGAACCCACGTATATATACTGAACACATCTCATTGTAAAATGAAATGAATGTATCACAAACTAAAAATTTCCTATAAATTGTCGTACAATTAATACAATTTCAAAATATTGCAAAATGCATACAGTCAAACCTCATCACAGCGGACCTCGCCACAGCAGATTGATAGATTATTTGTACAAACGTTTCCGAGTAACAACTTTTTCCAAGTTTTAAATAAATTAATAAACAAACAATTGATAGGTTATTTGTCCAAATGTTTGCGAGTAACAAACTTTTCCAAGTTTCTAAAATAAATCAATAAATCAATAAACAAACAATTGATAGATTATTTGTCCAAATTTTTGCGAGTAACAAAACACTAAAAATATATTAATACAGTAAGTAATAAACCAACAATTGATAGATTATTTATCCGAATGTGTGCAAGTAACAAAATTTTCCAAGTTTCAAAATAAACCAATTGATAATAAATTAAAGCATTTAAATCATTGAAAGAAAAATGGAAGAACTAATACAACCAAATATTACAACAAATAATTTTAATTTCCGCATGTATTCATGATCATCACCATAGCAGATTGACTGTAATAGTAATGCAGAACAAATGCGACAAATGTGACATTCAATAATTTATGCAGTGTAACAATTAATTTTCAATTGTTTCAAAATAGAAAAAAGGCGTATATGTGGGATATATATTTTTTTGAATGAAAATATTCGTTATTTTT